CGAACTTCACTTCTTCGAAAAGCTGGTGCCTATTGATATGAAGAGTCAAGTCGCATCCAAGATTTGAACCTCGTTGCTTCATTATGAGAACTCGAAAGTAAAGAATACACTTTTCTGAGAGGTAAGTTTAAAATTTGTCTTTAAATTTTATGTAACCTTTGCATAACTTTGAATATGCAGCAGTGGATCCTAGAACAGCCCACCCCGTGGCGATTCTTTTAAATCCCGCCAGCAAATTTAATTGAAATGTCGCCAAACTAAGTTTCCGGAAGATATTTCGGGGAGATTAATTTGAACGTTCGATTACACCACCAACATTCTTAAACCTGATTGGTTATTTGATAATATATACCTACGCGAAAGTTGGATTTTGTTAGAAAAGAGTTTATTTTTTCGCCATTTATGCTTCTTATCTCTTGCTGTTAGTATCATCGTTATTGTTTCATTTTTTAACCGTTATTTCATTTATTACCGTTACCATTTAATTTTGCTGTTGTTGTTGTATGGTACCGGTTTAAAATAGCCATAGTTGATCACTGTGTACTAGATTTTTCTGTATGAGAAAAATAGAATTAATTATTATTGTTAATATGTCAAAGCATATGAAAAGGAAAGTCACTATAGAATGATATCTATGATAATTTATTTAAGAAAAAGTGTTCTATAACTTGCAAAAATGTACAACCATTTGAAGTAAATTATTAAATAGCAGTCTAAAGATAAAAGTCTATCTTGTACACTACTGTACAGCTGGATTTGTTACAAAGAAGACTAAGCTGTACTATTAGGAATATTCTGAAACTACATTAGAATTGTACATTGCTGGCATACATCATTTATATCACAGTTCAGTAAATTATAAAAAGACAAGCTGTTATTTGTACTAAAATAAAGCAAACTAGTAAAGAAATAAATAAAAATGAATTTACAAAAATTTACAATTTTTTGTTTCAAAAGATACTGTAAATGTGTATTGAAGTTGCTGGTCTATCATATAAAAATGTGTAGGGGAATAGTAGCATATACATATTTACTTCTACATTTATTAGCTCTGCAACTTATATTCATAATGAACGAATAATTAAATGTTTTTGTATAGTATGTGCACTACCCTCGGTACTTGTTGTTATATTGGTCTTGTATTATCAAAGCTTAATGAACATTTAAATTATCAATTTTCACTTTTTTCATCCCGTTGAAAAAAAAAATTTTTTTTTTCCAATAAAAACTTTTCTTGCTTGAGTTAAATGCATATTTAAATAGATGTTTTCAGTTCCATCTCTGGTTTTTGTCTTGATAACTGCGCCATCTGTACGATATAAATCGTGAAATATCAATGCGTTAAACGTATTTAAAAAGTATTCTCACGATGTTTAAGGAATTACGGTATGCATCGATTGTATGATAATTATCGACAATTATTAACTATTGGCAACAGCGGAATACAATGCTATTGTGAGTGACAATAAATTTCAATTTGAAAACAAAGAATTTGACCTACGTAAAAATTATATATATGAGTTAAATTTGAAATCTTTCGTAAAACATTGATATTTCCCGACGTCAAACCGCAGTTTAAAATCCCATTACCGTCCAGATAAAATGTCAAAATCAAGCTAAAAGTTGCAGTTGCTTAAAAGCAACTCTATAAAATTTTAACTCTATTAAATTTTAGAAGACATACTGATTAAAGTAGTTAGCTTCCTGTAAAAACTCTCAAGTAGCTATTGGCTTTTTCTTTAAAGGAGAAACAAAAAAAAAGGTAATTCTTAGCGTGTCTTTTCTTATACATATTCCCTTATTTAATTCATATCAATAACAGATTTGAAGAATGAATAGATATTTCTCTCTTAAAAATAAGATCAAACCTTGACCAGAATGAGCGTTCTTAACTGCTTGAAAATGGTTGAAAACCGTCTATCAACCATAAGAAAACGATTCCATTAGTTAAAATAGGGATACGTAGAAATGCATTTAATGTAGAACGCAGGGTTTGATTAGATTTTTCCTGCTAGAAAAAATATTTGTCCTGATATTTAGTAAAAGTGTTCATTTAACCTCAGTTATTCTGACCTAATCTTTGTAAGAGTTCAGAGCGTCATTGTTCCAAGAACACAAATAAAGACTTTAATGGATTTGAAGAATCGAAAGATTTGAATTTTCGTTCCAACATCAATAAGGCTAGTAATAATTGCAAAATTCTATTGCTCACATTTGGGAAGTTCACTAATTATGTACATGTTTCAGGCATTAGGTCTTACCCGCAAGGTTTATTGTTTCGAACGTTTCGGGCATTCGTTATTTTATTAAAATTAAACTTCATTAACAATTTTACAATATCAAATTTTTAGGGTTATGAATTCAGGAATCGGTGTCTTTTAGAGAGAAATTATGTAGAAAAAAAATTCCATTTATAAAAAATTATGCAGCTATCATATCAGTGAGTGTTTAAATGATGAATGCTCAAAATAATTTTTATACAAAAAGTATTTCTCTGTGTGTTCCTCTCGAGATTATTTTGAACGTACTTCAAAATTATTTGATTGAGTCATCTTGAACTTGAATACAAATTTTAATTAAATATTGCTCTCTGGGGGAATTTTTCCTAATTGATACTGGTTATTTTTTTAATGCAGCAATGCTATAAAAATTATCTATTCAAAAAATCATAAGTTTTTCATAGCTCCAAAAGTTATACTGCAACCTGTGTAAACTTTCTTTTCTGAAAAATGTACTTAAAAACAGTATCATTCTTTTGCGATGAAATTTTTATACTAAGTAGTGCAAAAAATAGTAATATTATATTGATGTTATTTTTTTTTTCATTAAATTTACCTTCATAATAATAAATTGAGTGGTTGATTTTCACTAGAGCTGCGTTATTTATTTACGACGGTGATAAGGAAAAAAAAAATGGAATATTCCTTTAAAATTTTTGATGAATATGTTTGTTTTTCTAATCAAATTCAACGTGTTAAAAATTATGTTACAAATACAGAGATTGGACAAAATAGTTTTAGTATTCTTTTAAAATATATTCTAGGATAAATCTCTCAAACGCATGAAAATATGCGAATTTCATTCCCATTTAATGTGTTTCCATGTAACCTCTACCTGAAAGTGCGGAAAATAACTTTTGATTTACTGATCCGTTCTCCACGTACCAGCATTTAATGGTTCGAGAGCTTAGTTTCAAAATGCCGAATATTTAAAGTTTATTTCGCTCAACCGATTTCGTATTTTATTCTTTAAAACTACAAATTTTAAAATTATGTTTTGACTACTATTAAATAAAATAATAATTATTAATCGGATTAATGAATTTGAGATTAAGATTAAGGTCGACCATATTTGCAGCCAATATTTTGAGAATCATTCAGAAAAAGAATATTTGATTTCGTAATTTAAAATATCGTCTGAAGTAAGTAATTAGAGTATTAGGCCACGGAGCCGTTAATATGAAGTACGTGAAAATCATATGATTAAATCAAAATTATTCACTTTCTCACAGGGTACTTAATTTTTTGTTTTGCGCCCTGTACTTGGATGCTCGGAAACAATTTTTCACATAATGCTCCACAATTTTTCGACATTCATAAGGCAATTTTGGGGGAATCTCAGACGTTGAAAAAATTTGCTAAAAGGTACGAAAGAAGGTTAAAAGATAATTGGAGAGCCATTGCGAAAGAGGATATTAAAAATTGTTTATTGAATTTTTGCATTGTAAACAGGTCACGTGGATTCCTCAGTTAACATCACTACGGCCAATAACTTCTTACTGAAACGTGTTGCCATGGTAAAAAATAGGAGATGTTGTAAGAAGGTGAGTCCTGGAAATTGGTGCTGCTCCAAACTTATGGATGACAGATAATTTACTACAAAAATGTAAAGTAAATCAGGTTCGAATCCCGGTAGATCGGTACACTAATATCGATTTTCTATTGTTTTGTGATGGTTTCCTTGTGAAGCTATGTGGTATGGATTTTTTTTCATCAATTGTAATTACTTTGCTATTCATGTTACGTTTTTTATTTTAATAACTTATGCAAGTTGGAGCAAATTTTTATTTCAGATTTTAGGTCAACGTTTTTCGAGAGTGTCTGATAAAAATATACCATCTTTGGAAATTATACAAATGACTAGAAACTTGTGGATTTGAAATTAATGATTTGATAACCTGTTTTGTCCAATCTCTTTTTCACATCGATAAATGAACGGGGAGATTAATTTGAACG